CCAAAAGAAGTGAAATAAAGCGCATCCATCCATAATAAAAAGTGCCTCACACGGCTCTGGGGGTGAACAAAGTCCTCCTGTAGCGAATCGATGCGTTTTTGTACGAAAATTAACCATATTTAAAACGTAATAATCAATTTAATCTAGCTTGCGCTCACTGTTGTACACGGAAGCAGCTGCGGGCGGATGACGTAGGACGTCGTTGTTGCATATGCGCCGCTCAGAAGTGACGAACGAGGAAGCGCAGGGGAGAGATCAAAACAACGGTCACGAATTAGAAGTACAAAACGAGATAATGAGTGCATGATGCCCCTGGTTGAGAGTATGTTCATTGTCCAGCAGTCACATGGAACATGAGCTAAAATATCTCTGAACATCTCAGACACTGGAAAATGTATGATGGCCAGTTTATGAAGGCCTCTGTTTTAGACTCCTCATAGAATATTTTTTACTTTTATCTTGATGCTATTTTTTACATTTACTGATTTCAATTTGCAAATTGTACTCATGTTCTGTCAATGTCATGTGTGATTTATAGTTCTGGTCAATATTTGCATACAAGATATGTGAACACCCATTTTGTAGAATATTGTGGGGAAAAAAAGTTTTCTTAAGAATACGCATCTTAAAGGGTTAGTTCATCCAAAAATGAAAATTAGGCTGTGTTTTACTCACCCCCAATGCATCCTAGGTGTATATGACTTTCTTCTTTCAGACGAATCCTAGGATGGCTTGAGGGTGAGTAAATAATGGGCTAATTTTCATTTTTGGGTGAACTATCCCTTTAAGTAAACAGACGGGTTTTTATGCATAGTTAATAGACTACATTATTAGGCTACTTTTGACCATCACCCACTATAGATCAAATAACATAGGTGAGAATCGAGATTTTTCATGATATAGTTAATGCATTTGGGAATGTTTCGAATAAACAGCTGGTGTTGCAGTAAATAAAACTGAGATCAAAGACAATTTTTAATATAACGCGGACTGGATTCGTCTGAAAGAAGAAAGTCATATACACCTAGGATGCATTGGGGGTGAGTAAAAAACAGCCGAATTTTCATTTTTGGGTGAACTAACCCTTTAACTACTGAATGATTTTGGAATTTTGCAAGAAAGAAGAGCGCTGTTTTGAATAAGATGTCATACTTTATGGATGTCTGCAAGTGTTTATACTCTCCAGGTATACTGTATATTTGTGGTACGCATTTGTGAACTTTGTAGCTTGTCTTCTTCTGATTGGAACTGTGTAGAGTTTATACTGTCAAAACAACAACAACAAATCCCAAACTGTCTCTTGTTTTCTGTCTAGAATTGCTGTAAGCCTCAGTTAATTTAATCATTTAAATGGCTAAACCAATTGAGTATGTTAAACATTGTTACTCACCCTCTTAACATTCATTTCGAATTTCCCTTTGGGGTTTCAGTGTTTGTTCTTTACTTCTAATTTCTGATTTAACAGGCATTAATCTGTTGGAACCGTCAGGTAAGTGGCTAAATCATGTAAGATCTTGTTAATCGTTAAATGATGATGCGAAACCCCCGTAAGGGATTTCTACATGTAAAGACAGTATTATCTTTGAGGACAGATTGCTTCCGATTGAATGACATTTAAGTACGATCATTACATTAAGTAATCTGATAGGTGTGGGGTTTGGTTATTTCATCTTTGTGAGAATGAACCGTCGTATTTAGTGATATTCTGATATAGGAACCTTGCTGATGACTATGTTCACACTCCAGATATTCTTTTTCGACTTGTGGGTTTGTGTGAGTATGTAATTTATGTTGTAGAACAAAACATGAAAGTCTCGAATTTCAGCAATGTCAACCACAAAGATTATATTACTTGTAAATAATAATAAATAAAAATAAAAACCTAAAGGAACCTCTCAAGGATTTTGAGAGGGCCTATTTACGTCATGATTTACGTCACTCTCCACACGTTCTTTTTTCTCAGATAATAAAATAATATAAACTCAAACTCATTCATTCATTAAAAACATTTATTATTTATTTAGTAACCAGACATGTAATAAATCCAGTGATATATTCACAATAGCAAAATATTTAGTAATGACTGATTGTATTTTACTGAGCGGTCAGAATGGAAGTGGTCTAATGTCTGCATTTTTGTCCCATTTTGCATACTTATACAGTGTTCTATGCCTTTTTGTAGTATAAGTAGTGTGAGTAGTGTATTCACACCAAAAAAAAGCAGATGTAGTGCACTAAAAGTACCTTTATGATGTACTGTACTTTGTGAACGCTGGGCGCTTCTTACACAACCTCAAGATAGCTGCGTCTTAAAATGTAGTGAGCTACCTACCTACACAGCATATTTGGACAGATGACACAGCCAATATGTCATAAACATTCACCCACAGCCTCATTCATCCTTGCCCCAGCCTGCCTGGTGTCAGTCAAGTTGATGAAATTGCTCCTGTATTGAAGTTTGCATGTAAGAGGATCATTTTAAAAATGCATGCTAGACAGCCAGATACACCCTCAGGTGTGATTAACATTATTTGCTTGCACTGTCCACATGAGTTTGAGGAATGAGACAGATGTTAAGAAGCATGTGTGGATCCCTCTTAAATCATTGATTCTGACAGTTCAATCACTTACAGGAGCTCATTCACCTGTCAGACAAACAGCACAGGAACAAATGCATGTTAATGCAGTTTGATATTGAGATGAAAATAAGGACGGAAAATGGAAATTTAAATCATAATTGTTTCAGAAAATAGAAGACGTTTAATAGGAAGGGAAAAGATGTGTTACAATAGGCTGCAGCTGGACAAGCTTCTGTAGATGTTTTTAGATCTGTAGATATTCTTATGAGGAGAATTAGGAAGGATGCTTGGAGAATGATGTGAATAATGAGAGAGAGAGGAATAGAAAGGACGTGTTACAATAGGCTGCAGCTGGACAAGATCTGTAGATGGAGAAAATTAGGAAGGATGCTTGGAGAATGATGTGAATAATAAGAGAGAGAAAGAGGGGATGTGAGTGAGTCAGCTATCAGATGCTCTCAAGCATGTTGTTATGCATTTGTATTTGGTGAATGGAGACACTGATGTCTGGATCTATTCCATTGATTTAATGATGATTCTCCCTCATCAAAGCAAGTGGCTCTCCATCTTTTCTCAATACTGATCCACTCTGTACTTCTTGTTAGTATGTGAGTAAGTGATTAAGATAGATACTGCCACTTTGCTTTAGTGGTCCAAAAACCCTGCCTGAAATCAGTGTTATTTTAGTATTAATTATATGCTTTTATAGCATTTTTAAATATTGTTAATTAGCTTTTATTTTTTATTTACAGTTTTCATTTTAAGTTTAGTTTATGTTTAAGTAATTTTATATGTGCTTTTGTGATTTTTATTAGTTTAATATATGATTTAGCTCAGTTTTTGAGAACTTCAACTTAAACATATTTGTTTTA